GGGCCGAACGCGGCCCTGGCGGGTCCGGCTTCTGAGCGGCCGAGCGCGGCAGGTGACCGTGACCTCGGTTTGCTGCAGATGCGTAGTCCTTTCCCTGAGGGGGGGCGGGAGCCAGGTGCCTGGGGCATGGCTGCTTGTAACTGTGCGCTGCAGGGCTGGCACTTCGTGCTGGGATGCCGGGTGTGAGGACGAAGGACGGGCTAGGCCCCGCTCGCCGGCTCGCCTGCCGCTCTGGGCTTACATGGAGTCCTTTGTGCGTACTCCTCGCCGCAGAATTTTGCGTGATCCACTATCTAACGGGCGAGGAGGTACTGGGGCTTCTCGGCACCGACGGGGTAGGCAGGTGTGCCAGACCTGGGTTTGCGCTTCCACCCGGGCATGGCCCACTCGCGCTGTGGGTGTGGGGTGTGCTGCCTCGTGGGCTCGGGCACAGGCAGATCTACCCGTCTCTGAGCGGCCCACGGTCCTTGGAATTGCGGCGGTCGCGCAGAGACAAACGTGAAGGGCACGCAGAAACGCAGCCGTGGTTGCCAGCCAGTTTTTCTATTCCAGCTTTCTATCAAAGAAGTAGCTGCCTTGCTTGATGGAGTGGTGGTGTTCGGTAGCAAATACTGTGTAACACCTGCTTTATGAGCAGTGTTTTTTATTTTGCAAGAATCAAAAAATAAGATTGAACTGAAATAAACATGGTTTCTCGTGTAAAAGGAACAATTCGGTGCTAATGCTCATTTTAATGTTCAAGCATTCTGCTATTTATAGAACAGGAAAATAGATTTTTATACCTTTTTATTCTCATTACATTTCCCACTTGAAATTTCCTATCAGTGTGCTGAAATCAAACTGTTTCTGAAGATGAATTTTATTCTAGAAGTATCACTTTCTCCATTTTTGTTTTCTTGCAGCAGGATCTTTGATGACCACAAAGCATTCACAGCCACAATCTACACTGGCAAAAAGTCTAACTTCAACAAGTACAAATACTCCTTATTTTAAAGCAGCAGGTACAATATTACACTGTTTCTTCTGTTTTTCTTCTATGAGCCTTTTTCCTCAGTGTCTCGAGTTTTGTAGTAAAGTTCTTGAATTATACATCTCAGAAGCCTGTACGTGCTTTTGCAGTGGTAAAAGACATTATAGTATAACACATTATGAATTACTCTTCGACGACCTTAACAATTAGTTTGGATTATATAATTAGAAAATTGGTCCATATAAGATCTTACAAGTAGAAAACAACCAGTTAAACTGCCATTGTGGTTCATGTGTTTTATACCCTCCCAGGATGGTGGAAATTCTTGAAAGACTCCAGCATTCTGCAGGAACTTGTTACTGTTCCCTATTGAACATAAATACAGTTTTTGAAGCTCACTAGGGGGTGCATCAGGACCGGCTGACACACTGTTCTTGCTAGTAATTTAAGAGGTGGTAATGAACACATACAAACAGCAAATGGCTGAGCTAGCTGTAAACTTAATTAGACCTGAACTAAAAATAGGTTACATGTGTCAACCTGCTTCTGTACCTAAACTGATTACTTCTGCTGACAAACACTGGCTGAGGCAGCACTAATCCATACTAAGCTCTGTTCTCGTGTTGTACTGAATTGTGTTGCTGTGCTGTCCTGTACAGAACTTCTGTGAGATCTTGCAGGCTATCCTGCTATGTGGTGTAGCTCACTTGGCTAATGCAGTGGTTCCCACAACGCAAACTTGTACTGCTGTTCCCTGGATAATAAGGAAAGCCCTTTATGCAGTGTCAGTGCATATGTGTGAGTGTGTGTACATGTATAAAAGAAAATGTGTGTATATATACTTCAGCTTATATAGCTTTTTTTAATTCACTTTCTTAATTTTATTCACGTATTTCACCTTTCAGAAAGTACAGAAATTCCATCTTACGTGACTAAATGTCCTAGCAACGGGCTTTGCAGTAGATTGCCACCAGACTGCATGACGTGTAACACAAACTATTCCTGTATATATGGGAAGCCAGCCACTTTTGATTGCAAAGTCAAGCCACATGTTCATTGTGTTGTAAGTAACCTGTTACTTTTAAACCCAAATTTAAGTCATTAATTAAACTGTGGCATCTTGTCATAAAATACAGAAAAATTGATTTCCAGGTTCTTACGTAGGCAGGTTTGCAGATCTGTGATACATTTAATCCAATTCGACTGTAGGCTGTTGCTGAAGAGGCAGACCTACCTTTCTCTGTTTTGCCTTTCTTGTGTCGGATCTTTTTGTTACACAGCCATGCAATTGGGTTAAATCAATTTGCTGACCAATCAAAACTGACCCATTTTGAGAGTGGGGAGGCTGAATATCTGTCAGAGGTACAAATGGATCTTACAGGTGAGACCAAATGAGTCCTCCTTTTGGCAGTAGCCTTAGATTGGAGGAAGCAGTAACGTTAACCTGTGCTTTAATAGCTCTTTGTCAGTTTTCTAATGTTGATTTTTCTATTTTACTTGACTACATAGAGGTAGCAAAGAGGGTAATTGTTATTTTGCCCAAAACGTCTACCCGTGAGATGTAATTTGATGCTGCACGCTGTGAATTTCTTTTATTAGTAGTGAAGTGATAATGCTGTCCTTCTGTAGGATCAGAATAACCAGGAGCAGGAGAACTTTACAATTAACATGACATGCCAGTTTTGCTGGCAGCTTGCAACAACGGATTATGTGTGTACCAATTCTACAAACTGCATGACAGTTTCTTGTCCGCGACAACGATATAATGCCACATGTACAGTACGGGATCATATTCATTGTCTAGGTAAGGTGGGCTAAAACACATGCTGTAAAGATGCTTTTTTTTCTAAAGAATTCTTAACATTTTTTGTAATGGGTAAATACAATGATACAAAGTGATATTTTGTAACAGGTAAATACAAAACACTGTCCACTGCAGTAACAGCCTCCACCTTGATTAATCTATTGAATTTTTTTATAGTTACATGTTAATTTTTAAGCAGAATAGTGACATCTAACTGTAGACATTGGCTTTTAATACTGTTGTATACCTTCATGTGAGAGAAAGTAGTTTTGTTTTATTTTTGTCAATTTCTATGAATTAAGTTAATTTCGACACCACTAACAGAATCAGTGTCAAATGTCTCAGTAGGGTAATTAAAAAAATGCATGCTGGTTTCACCCAACTAGTTTAATTTTCACCCTGTTTGTTCAGTGAGCTCGCATGTTTTCTGATGTAGGACAAAGATTGATGGAACAAAGGACTGTAGTGTATATATGAGCTTTTGTGTTGACAGTGTTTGTTTCAGATAGTGTCAACCCTTTTAGACTCTTGTTAGGAAAACAGACTATTTTCTTGCTTGTCATTTTCTTACTCACTATGTGGTCCTTGTTTTGTTACATCAAGGTTTGAATGTTTTCTAATGTTTAGGTAATCGTGTCTTTCCTAAGATGCTCTATTGCAACTGGACTGGAGGTTATAAGTGGTCTACTGCCTTGGCGCTAAGGTACACAAGAACTGTTAGATAATGTCGAGCTAAAATAGATAATACTATTAGAAATAGATTAATTGTCTATAAAATCTTCAGTTTGTGTGTTTTTCTGCTTGGTATTTTTTAATGGTGTACTGGCTAACTAATATTTCATGTAGTCTAGCTTAGAATTCAGAGGCATAGGATGCCTGAAGATTTCATATGCTGTGATACTAGCTGTCTTCTGTAAACAGAGCTTGAGAGAAAACATTTACCCTATTTCTGCATCGAATGTACTTTCTTCAGAGTAGAGGCCAATCATACTTAGGCTTCACGAAGCGATCCATTTTTGGATTAGAGAGGACATGTTGGGCTTTTATTCTGTATGGTATCAAATGAGGTACCAAAAAATGAGGTACTCAAAAAAAAAAAATCTGCAGATTTATGTTTTTTTCTCCCAGTTTTGTATATGTTTTAAAAAATTAGGGCTGAAAATTGTCCAAATTACTTCTTGGCATCTGAAATGAATGCAGCTCTTTCTGAATTTGATAAAGTCACTGAGCTGCCTATAGTTGGTATACATTTGTTAGGCTTCCTTCCCAGCTGCAACAGCTAGAAATGCCTTAAGATGAAATTTCTTGCATTTTAAATTATTAGAGAAGAGACAAGTATAGCAGTATTGAAAGAAACTGTTTAGATTACTTTTGGAATATTAAGGCATTAGAGCACCACAATAGTGATTTGAAAGTAATGGTTCTTTTGGTCATAAGACCTTCTTCATTGAATTTTAGTATTTCAGAAGTGGTTAATATGATAAATTAGGTAGTGAGATTCTCTATTCCTGGACCCAAAGATACAATAAGACTCTGATTAAGAAAGCGATCTAACATACTTCCTTTTATAGCAAGAGTTGTTCTCTCTGCCACCAGCTGGAGAAACTTACTGTTGCCTGACTACTGCATGGGGATGAATTTAGCATTTCGGTCTGTTTCTATAGCTTGTTTGTTGGTTTGGGTTTTTTTTTTTAGCTTCTGCTAGCTTAGAAAAGCTGAGACACATTTATAAATTTGAGAGTTTGGGGTTTTATCACTTGTCACGAATTAAAAACTCTCAAGTCTCTGGATAGTATTAATTAGCAAAGAAATAGTGCTATTTCATCAAAAGCTTTCTCATTTAAAAACCCACTCCACTCTTCTTGTACAAAAAATGTGTAGTTTCTCAAATGAGGTAGAGCAAAACTGTCATCGACTTGTAGGTATGTCAGAAAGAAGTGTGTATGGATACCCAAACTGAGTTCCTCTAAAAAAAAAATAACAACGAATCATGTTTTTATTCTTACAGCATCACTCTTGGTGGATTTGGTGCCGATCGTTTCTATTTGGGCCAGTGGCGGGAAGGTCTGGGAAAACTCTTCAGCTTTGGTGGACTTGGAATATGGACACTAATTGATGTGCTGCTAATAGGTGTTGGCTATGTGGGACCTGCAGATGGTTCTCTTTATATTTAAATGTGGGTGCAACACGTTTCAGAGAGGAGTAATTGCTTGGAAGGGGCTCTAAATAAAAGAATGTAGAGATTTGAGCCTTTAAAGTAGAATGAAGAACAACTGTTCTTTCTATGTGCATATGTTTTAATGTACAGTATCTGTACTTAGTTCGCCTTTAACTAAGGTAAAATAAAAGAGTGGATCACTGAGTAAGTTGAAATTCATTTTCTTTCTTCTATGGACATGCTATTTTTCTATGAAAGAAGTTGAACGGCTAACCCGACTCTGCAGTGTGCTTGAACTTGGATGTTTGTCAAGTATCAAGAGAGATGCGAACTGACTTGAATATTGAGTTGTTTACTTCATATTTGTATGCTTGAATTTAACTTTAAAGCTAACTTCCCGAAATATGTCAGTGATGTTTTGGGTTTGGGTTGGGTTTTTTTTTGTTTGTTTGTCTTCGTGGGAGGATAATTTATTTGCCTGAATTACTCTAGCCGTATGTGGATCACCATGTTTTATGATGTTAATTACATTCATCTCTTGTTCTGGGATATAGCAAGAGCTAACATTTGCGTTGTGACTTGTTGACTTAAAATTGTGGGGGTTTTAGAATTAGATTGCAGTAACACCAAAAGCTAAACATGAAATAATTGAAATAGATTTTAGGATTGTTCCAGCATGCCTGTATTCCGGTGGGGTTTGACCCGCGTTATCTGTGAAAGGTACAATTCCTATTCTTGCGCTAGCAAGCTCGCCGAGCTGATTTTAAAAAAAGGCTTGGCACGATGGCGGAGGCGTTTGTCCCCTCACGACTTCGTACCGCGCCGCTGTGGCAAATGCGGTGCCGTTACGGAGGACGTGCGTCCTTTAGTTCCCGCGGGTACCCGAAGGTGCCCGCCTGCCTCTCGGCCGGGCGACCTCTGGCCTCCAACCGTCGCTTGCGTAGCGCGACGGTGCAGTAGAGCCGAACCCCCTGTCCCTTGAATAAACTTGAAGCTTGTGTGGAATTCAGTACCGACGGTGGTGTTTGCGACCTCGCCTTCGCTCCCGCTGCCCCGCTCCGGCCCTGCCCGGCCGGTTGAGGGCGGGAGGCGGAGCGC